CTCCTCCCCAAGACCCTTCTGTAAGGGGATTTCCAGTGGCCTACAAATGGGCTTTGGGTCTCCACCCTGCACTCTCCCCTCATTCACAATGATAAGATTTTTTGCTTTGATGATGCCTGTAAACTAAATCTTTACAGGAGCAGGCAGCCTCAGTTTTTACCCATGAAGAAACTGGTAGATTTGAACCTCCCACTTTGTGGTTCACAGCCCAACACCTAAACCACAGTTCCACCAGGTCTCAGGGAAGGGCTGGAGAGATGGAAGCCCTTCCTTCAGATCTAGATGAAGGATATGCTGGGAAACAGTAATTTCACATGTTTATATATTTGTTTAATAAAGGTTTCTATGATTTTGTAGCAATACTATTTGACTCTTGTCTATGCCAGCAGCTAATTCATATTTTCTCCACAAATAACATGTTTAATTGTAAAATAAAATCTATGCAACAGAGTAGCATAGACTTGAAACAAAATCATCTAATAAAGAACTTTTTGTCAATAGCTTGCTTCCTTTCCCCTCCCCCCTGTTCTCTAATGTGGCATTAAATTTGGATTAACCAGCTTCTCATCAATATTGATTTAGCTGAGGAATGCATTGTTGAGTAATGCTTGGTCTCTTCCCTATCCTTATGAACAAAGCAAAATACTTGTGGGCTTTGACTGCTAGCTGATAAAATCGGTCAACATAGAGTTTATAGTGCCATCTGCTTAATCTTTAATAACAGTGGGATAATGTAGTGTAGTGTTTCTCAAAGTGGCTGAGACCAGCCCCTGGGGGCCCGGGAATAATCTGGGGGTGGGGTGGGAGTGGGGCTGCAAAAGCAGATACCTACATTTTATCCTAGATTATGGGTATAATAGAAAAGTTTTTAACTACTTGGAGAGAGAGGGCTAACACCTGAGTAACACCCCCCCCCCAGGAAAGAGGGCTGTAGGCCATTATGTCTGGGAACCTATGCTAAAGTGAATGGTAATGTTAAAGAGAATGACGGTATCTTGGGAGGAGTCATTCATCTTAAAACTTTGTAAAAATGTAGTATATGACCAAATTTCTTGCATTAATTTTTGCTCTGAAAATGACGGAGCCACTTCACAGATCCTGAGGATGCTGAGAAAGAAAAGAAGACAGATAAGTCATAAAGAGCTCTCATTTCCAAGTGAGAGTTTGAGTAGAAACCAAAGCACAAAGGGGGTTGACTTGTGGCTTAAAATATAAGATCTTCCTGAAGGTGGGATGAACTGGAAATCAAGTGAAGAGTTATTCAAAGCAGAGGGCAAGCCGAAGACAAGAACTGACAAGTATCCTTAGTTGTGCCAAGCTCATTGGAGGTGCTAGGGGTGTTCTCCGTTATGTTTTGAGGTGGGGTGGAAGAGGTTGGGCTAGAAGACAGAGGAATTAAATTTGAGTGGGCTTTGAGAGCACGGAGAGTGAAGAAATAAGCTTCGGGCATGTGGACAAACAGCGTTAAGATTTCAGGTAACAATTGGACTGTTAACCGCAAGGACGACAGTTCAAGCTCATCCACTACTCCATGGGAGAAAGATGAGGCTAGCTGCTCCCATAAAGATTTACAGCCTCAGGAACCCTGCATAGGGTTGTTAAGAGTCAGAACTGACTCAATAGCAGTGGGTTTTAATGAAATAAAATGGGGTTCTCAAATGTATTCATGCCAACAGAAGGAAGAATGAGGGAAAATGTAGCAAAGAACAGATGTGAAGGTTATCAACAAATAGCAAGATGATAGACTTTGGCCCAGCTCTAACTAATTGTCATACCAGATGTAAACTCGGAAGCTCCAAGTTAAAAGACAGCTTAAAAGAGCACAACACAACTCTTTTTTCCTTCTGTGTTTTAGAAATCATTTTATTGGGGGCTCTTACAGCTCTTTTTTTTTTTTTTTTCTTACAGCTCTTATAACAATCCGTACATTACTTGTATCAAGTGTATTTGTATATATGCTGCCATCATTATTTTCTAAACATTTACTTTGTATTTGAGCCCTTGCTATCAATTCCTCTTTTACCCCTCTCTCCCCTCCTCCTACACTTGTGACCTCTTGATCAGTTATTATTATTTGCCTATCCTACACCGACTGCTGTCTCCCTTTCCCCATGGTTTCTGTTGTTCATCCCTCCTGGAGGGAGTGTGTGTGGTTATGTGTCAATCACTGCAATAATTTCCTGCTTCTTCCCTCCTCTCCCCACCCTCCCCCTACCATCATGGTATTGCTACTTCCATTCCTGTTCCTGGATTCCGTGTGTCACGAGCTCTTCTCTCTTATCTGTACCTGTGTACATGCTCCAGTGTAGCCCACAGTGAAAGGCAGGACTGGGGTCGTGATAGGGGGTGGGGTGGGGAGGAAGTCTCAAGGAACCAAAGAAGTATTGTCTGTTTCTTCGGTGCTATACTGCACCCTAGTTGACTCATCCCTTCCTTGTGACCCTTCTGTGATGGGATGTCCCATTGTCTACAGATGAGTTTGGGGTCTCTGCTCTGACCCTCCTCGTTCCTAACAATGTGGGTCTTTGTTTGTTTGCTTTGGGTCTTCTGATGCCTGTTACCTGATCCTGTCGACACCTCATGATCACACAGGCTGGTGTGCTTCTTCCACATAGGCTTGTTTAACTTCAGGCCTTTAAGACCTCAGAAGCTCTATCTTTTGATAGCTGGGCACCATCCACTTTCTCCACCACATTGCCTTAGATTTTCATTCTCTTCTTAGTGTCTGGCTTCAATCTAGTATCAAGGTAATGCTGACCTCGTAGAATGAGTGTAAGTGGTATTATCTTCCATTTTCTAGAAGAGTTTATTTGGATTGTTATTATATCTACCTTGATTATTTGCTAGAATTCACCAATGAATTTATCTGGCCCTGGAGCTTTTATACAGGCAATATTTTTAAGTATAAATTAAGTTTATTTAATAGATATTCAGATTGTCTATTTCTTCTCGAATGAGCTTAATACTTTGTCTTTCAAGAAATCTGTATTATTATTAGTCACTTTATTGGTGGGCTCTTACAAATCTTAAAACAACCCATCATTCACTTGTAGTAAGCACACTTGTATGCATGCTGCCATCAACATTTCCAAATGTGTCTGCATTATTGGTGTGGGCATAAAATTGTTAATAATTTTCCTGATTTTTTTTATGTCTCATTAGAATCTACAATGGTAATACCTTACTCATTCTTGCATTAATAGTTTATAATTTTTCCTTATTTTTTCAAAATCATCCTGGTTACAGTTATCAACTTCATTAATTGTCTTATAGACAAGCTTTTGCATTTATTTATTTTCTGTTTTTATATTACTAAGCTTTGCTTTGATCTTTATTTCTCTGTTCTGCTTACTTTGGGTTTCACTTAATTTCCCCCCCAGCTTCCTAAGGTAGAAACAATTCGTGGATCTGCGACCTGTCTTCTAAGACAGGGGTTTGTTGCTGTAAATTTATGCCTCACTACTGCTTTGTCAACCTCTTCCAAATTCTGGCATGCCAACATGCCATTATTTTCATTACTTCAAGATATTCCCCGTTATCTGAGATTTCCCAGATATCTTTCTCTTACTGATTTCTAATTGAATTTTTATTGTAACGAGAAACCATATTTTGTGTGACTTGAATGGATTTAAGTTTATTGAGATGTGTTTATGGCCCGAACTCTGGTCTGTGTGGTGCATAGTGGGAAGAACTATTTATTCTGCTACTACTAGGTAGAGTGTGACTTAGGAATCCCAGTTTAAGTTGATTAATAGTTTTATTAAAATTTTCTACAACCTTGCTGATTTTCGGTCTACTTGATCTTTCAGTTACTGAGCGAGGCTTTTAAATCTCTGACCAGAGTTATGGCTTTGTCTCTCTCCTTGCAGTTCAGTCTGTTTGCCTTTATGTACTCTCAAGCTCTGTTATTAGCTCCATTAACATTTTTAATTGCTTTGTCTTTTGACTGAAGTGACCCTTTTATCCATATGTATTAACCATCTCGATCACTGGCAATATTCTTGCCTATGCATAATATTTTCTTGTGTATCCTTGATTTTTAAAAAAATATTTAAAGCACTTCAGGAGGAAGTACTTTACATGATGTAAACCTTTTAAAGATTCTTAATATCTTGCTAAGTTTCCCTGTAGAAAGACTATATAGATTCATACTTGTCAATATGTTTAAGTGTTTCTAAAGTTAATAAAAACGGTCCTAAAAATTGAAGAGCTGTAGCAACATTGACTGGGCAGCAGCCCACTGACCAAAAGATAAAATGTCCTTTTTATGCAGTCATTTGATTGTCATAGAACATTACGCTTTCCACATTGTCGTTAAATTATTTCATGTGTCTTTTTGTTTTGTTTTGTTTTGTTTTATCAGTGTAAACCATAACCACATCTCTTACCTTCACAATGGAGATAAAGTAAAATGAGAGGGTTTGGTTTACATTCTTGCTTTTGCTATACTCCCACTTCTTCTTCATTTTTTTCTTTTGTTAAGTTGGGATTTAATACATATCACACATAATCCATATTTCAGTCACACCCAGTAGAATTGTACAATTGCGACCACAGTTTCCAACCATTCTTTCTCTATAATTTTTTGCTATCTGCAATTAATATCTTAGCGACCATTTTCAAAGTTACGTGTATATATTTAGTTAGATAGAATGTTTGCCTTTAAATGTTAATGTTTGGAAGGAAATTTCACATGTAAAACTGGAGGTTTGTAAACATATTATCCACTTAGATTTAAAATAGTGTATGTTTAGATCTGGTAAGGATTTAGAGGCTGCTGAAAGAAACTTTGATAGTGCCTGGTATTGATTGCAACGAATAATGTCATCTCCCAGATTTATGTGTCATCTTGACATGCAAAAGTGATGCCCGAGGGAAGGTTTTAACATGATTTCTTTAAAAGGTGCAGTGCATTTACCACACTTTCATGAAAGCAGAAACACGTGCTGAGGTGGCCTGTCTGCATCTGTTTGGTAATTCTGAGCCGTCTTCTCCTGCAGGAGTCTTCCGGAGCCGCTCATGACCTACGACTTACACGGAGACTTCATTGTTCCCGCCAGTACGTATCCACTCGACGCCCCCAGAGCAGAGTTGTGTGTGGGAGTGTGCATAAGCTGAAATTCCCCTGTGAAACATCTAACTTCATAAGCCTGCGTTAATTAAGAATGGAAGCCACTTCAAATGTTTTTGTTTTACCCCCCCTTTTAGAAACTGAAACGGGACAAATAATATGTGCATTAATGGATCTACAAGCATTTATGTATTATCTACTGTGCTAGCCACTGGTAGACATTGAATTTATATAGAATCTCAGTGGACAGAATTCTTGCTCCTAGGTGGCAGTTTTTAGCAAGTATTCAGGCATGCCATGCACACCTCTTACTGTATCATAAAATAAATAATAATGGCATGAGCTAAGTGCTATGGGAACACAGAAGTATTTAGCCTGCAGAAGGTTGGGGAAGATGAGCAGATTTGGAAAACATGAAGTGGTTGGAAATGGCTTTACTTGGAAAGATACTTAGTTGGAAATTGCCAGTGGAAGGCAGAGTATGAGTTCATGCCAGAAGCTTACAAAAGATTTGATAGAGAATGAATTGCCCCTTAAAAAAATGCTAGAGAAGGCTTAAAGTTGGAAGAACTTAAATTTATGATTTTTTTTGGTGAATCATATTTATTCTAGGCTTTCTTGTTTTCTATTTATTTACATTTTGATTTTATATTCAATACATAATATAGCATCGTGGTAGTTTTTGAAACACATTGGTGTTAGGTAGTCAATAGGAAATGAAGGTTGAGACACATTAAATAACTTGCCAAGTTAGGAAGGATTTATCTTATATTCGGAACCCGAGTTCTGTTGGCTAAAGCCTGCAGTATTAGTTTTCACAGGTGCACCAACAGTAGCTGCAGTGTGTTTTCATCTCCTTTTATTTCCCCCCCTTTGGATGCATTCCATAGTTTAATCTGTGGAAAAACTTCAGAGCAATCCCTTTGGGTTCCATGTTACTATTGCCCAAGTCTTGCTTTAAATGTTATCTCCTTGTGAGGTCTTTAATCCAGTCAGTAAAAGGTTCTTCGTATGTCTCACAGAGAATTGATTTGTAGGCTCAGTTAGACTATATATAAAAATAGGCTTTTGGGAAAAGAAAAAAATCTGTTTCCATTCACTTTTGTTTTTATATGGAAAATGATTTTTTAAAGAGAATTTACATGAACCAGAGAAGGAGAGAAGTTGGCAAAAAAGTAAGCAAATGTTTTGTTGCTTGATCCCCCAATGATATTTTTGGCAAATCGCATGTTGTTGTTTCTGATGGCTATCAAGTTGGATCTGATTCATGGTGCCCCTGTGTACAACAGAAGAAAACACTGTCCAGTCCTGCACCAACCTCACAATCGTTGCTATGTTTGAATCCCAGTCCATCATACTCATGGTCTTCCTCGTTTCAGCTGACGGTCGACTGTATGAAATATGTCTTTCTCTAAGGACTGGTCTTCCCTCATGTGTTAGTCTTGGTTGACTAGAGAAACAAATCCAGAGACAATCACATGTGTATAAGAAAGAAATTTATATAAAAGAGCACTTGTATACTGAGACATCATCCAAACCTGGTCCAGATCATGTCCATAGGTTCGATATTAGCCCCTAAGTCCGATACGAGTCTATAAATTCCTTTTTAGACTCAGGCAGCATATGCAATGGTGCCGAATGCAGGAAGATCGCAGGCCAGTGGGTAGAAAGTCTTGTGGAACCAGTGGCGGTGGAAGCTGGTGCGGGTCCCCTTGTGTCTCCTCAGCTCTCTGAGTGTCTCGACAACTGGAACAGGAATGCGGAGTGTGGGTCTGGCCTCCAGTGAGTGATTTAGCTCCTTAGTGCCTCCAAATGGGGTCAAGTTTTGACCTGATTGACAGGCTAGACTCCACCCCTTCCCTCAAGTTGACAGGAGATTATGTAAATTCCACATCTGCTAACAACGTCCATGAATACATGAGATGAAGTTTTGCCATCCCCCTTTTAAGGAGTATTCTGGTTTTGACTTTTTCCAAGCTAGATTAGTCCATGGTATATTTAATATCCTTTGCCAGAACTGTAATTCAAAGGCATCGGTTCTTCTGCAGTCTTCTTGGAGGACCACTGTTTCAGGCTATTTGCCTGAGAGACTGGAAAAAGCCGGGGAGTGCCAATTATAATCTAGAGTCCCTTGTGAATTAGAGAATGATAAAGCGATTATGGAATGAAGTTTTAAATGACTGTAAGCTAGTTTTGCTATTATTAGTTTGCCCTGTAACTGTGGGCAGTGTGTTTGAAATTCTTACAGCACTGTTTTACCAGATAAAGGCTTCCTATAAAGTAGGAATGTATAAATAGCAATCAATGATGATAGGTAATGAGCATAGAAATTTTGTTGAGGAAATCTTTGGAAACTGTGGTAAAAGGGATTGACTAAATGCGAATATTATTATCACCTACTGGATCAGCATTGCATGTTTTGCTTCCTGCCTTCTTGAAGTTGCTGTCATAGAGCCTCCACAATGATTTAAATAACAGGCCTGCTCCTAAGACAGACTGTATGTAGTTACTGTAATTTTGGGCATTGATTTATACCTAAGTGAGCTGTGGTTGGAATGGGGTCTCCGGTAACCTTGTCTAATGAGAAGAGTGTAATGTTTTAAGTAGGTTATTATTTTTTTTAAGTAGCTTATTTTTTTTAATAATTATTTTATTGGGGGCTCATACAATTCTTATCACAGTCCACACATACATCCACTGTGTCAAGCACACATGCACACCCGCTGCCCTCATCACTCCCAAAACACTTGCCTCCCACTCTAGCCCCTATTATCAGCTGCCCATTTTCCCCCTCCCTCCTCATGAACCCTCCGTAATTCAAAAATCATTATTGTTTTGTCATAAGTTACACTGTCCAACATCTCTCCCCGCCCTCTTCTCTGCTGTCCATCCCCCAGGGAGGAGGCTGTACGGAGATTCTTGTAATCAGTTGCCCCTTTCTACCCCACATTCCCTTCACCTTCCAGGCATTGTCCCTCTCACCACTGGTCCTGAAGGAGTCATCTGTCCTGGATTCCCTGTGTTTCCAGTTGCTCTCTCTACCAATGTACATCCTCTGGTCTAGCCTGATTTGTAAGGTAGAATTGGGATCATGATAGTGGGGGGTGGGGTGGGGTGGGGGGAAACATTAAAGTACTAGAGGAAAGTTATATGTTTCATCTTTGCTACCCTGCACCCTGATTGGTTCGTCTCCTCCCCACAACCCTTCAGTGAGGGGGTGTCCAGTTGCCTACCGATGGGCTTTGAGTCTCCACTTTGCCCTCACTCACCTTTACAATGATATGGTTTTTTGTTCTTTGATGCTTGATACTTGATCCCTTCGACAGCTCATGGTCACACAGGCTGGTGTGCTTCTTCCATGTGGGCTTTGATGCTTCTTAGCTAGATGGCCGCTTGTTTATCTTCAAGGCTTTAAGACCCCAGATGCTATATCTTTTGGTTGCCTGGCACCATCAGCTTAAAGTAGCTTATTTTTAAGGGCCTAAATTTCTGATTTGTACTTTGGTCTTAATCTCTTAGAAGCATCCTTCTCTGTACTCATATTGTTTGTTTTAGAAAAGGGTGTGTGAACTTTGGCTTTTGTATGTGCATTGTCAGGCACTGAATAAAATAGTTGCAGGTATCAGGAGGCCCAAATTAAACCTCTTTGGAATGTTGTTAGAAATTTGGGGTCACGATCATGCTATCAGTTTCCATTAATCTTGACACAAATTACCCTGTCTCAGGACAGCGTCTTAGCTGAGCTGACTGCTAAACTTACCAGTATTGGTTAGCACCTCACACACCAGTCCAGGAAGTCTGTTTTGGTCACTCTCAGTCCGTGTAGTGGGTTCCATCTGGCTGTGGTGCTCAGATGGGCTCACTGTCTGCTCTGCCGAAGGTTCTCAAGGTTCCTCTGCGGTCCCTGCATTTCCTCTCCTCAACGTGTCTCCTGTCATTTTCATTTCAAAGCCTGTGAGTTAGCTTCTAAAGACCAAGACACAAAGGATGATTTTTGTTTTTTGTTGTTATCACAAGAAGTTAAATGTATGGTTTCCATACGTTAAAAAAATCGACATACTGTTCAATATTGAATATGTGGGGGGAAATTTTTAAAAAAATTTCTCTTTCATCTAAGTTCTCTGAAATGGCCAAAAGAGATCAGAAGGCCTTCATCTTGTGAGAGTATGTAGTGGGCTTTGGGGACAGAATTCGTGAGATGAAAACACCATTGACTTGGTCTACAAAGGAACATCAAAGGTGCATCCATGTCCCTATGGGGAAGGCTGGTAAGCATTGGATGGATGAGGGACTGCGTGGTGCTTATTGCCTTTGAGAACAGTTAGAATCCAGGCCTGGGTCCTCCTTAACCTCTCAGACTCAGGACCCCGATCTTTCTCAGTAGTTAACATCAGTATTCCCCATAGTTAACAACATTACCCCGGGGGACTCAAATGAGCCAGTGAGGTGCAAACACAGATACCTACACTTTGTTCTAGGCTAGGGCTATAGTACAAAAGTTTTTAATTGCCAGGGGGCTGCCGAGCCATCCCCCACCCTTTTCTTTGGAAAAGGGGGCAGTAGGCCAAATACGTTTCAGAACTTACATGTTAACACGAGGCATCCAGAGATGGTCTCAGGTCAGACAGGGTTTGGTACTGAAGGTGAACACCTTGGTGACAATCCATTGCATCTAAAAAGAAAGCTCTACAACCTGGACCAGAACTTGTATCTGTTGTGTTCAGTGTATTTTCCTCCTGTTAAGTTACCTGGGAAGTAGAATCACAAGCTGCCAAGTTCGTTGGTCATTTTTGAGGAACATTAGAACTATTACAGAAGCCAGAGCATCCGTGGGTGTGTAACCATGCTGTGCCATTCTTGGGGTAAATCTGCATGGGAAGCAAGACAAACCCCTATGCTTCTGGGTGAGGAAGAACTCTGGTACCTGGAAATCAAAGGAATGAACTGCTTAATGACCGCAGAGTGGCGACAGGCTATCTTGGACTGAA